TGTAGTAGTAATAAGTGATGGTTTGATTAGATCATCAAACCTGTATCATCTGAAGTGTAAGAGTTGGGCTTTTCTTTTTGCATATATCTGAAGGATATCTTCCCTGTTCTGGCTTTGTGGTTCATAGATCTGTGCTAAGTGAGGAGTGGCTCATTTCCCATCTGTTATATTCCACTTAGTCTTCCCCTAATTAGGAAGCAGAGCCAGAGGGAATTCAAGCTGGTAGTTGCCATGATCTATCTGTGCCTGTCCTTTCCCCTTCCCTCAACCCCACTTATATTTTCCAAGTGAGAATGCTTGAGTTTCATTCTCTATTTCCTTCCCAGTCCCCTACAGAAGCCTCACCTAAGAAAGAGATACTGCGGCTGGGGACGGTGATGGGTCTCTCTTAGGTGATCCCTACACTGCTGTCTTAATGCAGGCTCAGTCAGATTTTCTTCCAAGGCATTTGTGCACTGATGTCTATAGTACACCTCACTGTACTCCTCTTTTGTACAAATCATCATTGAAATTTATCTGTGTGTTCTGGGAAAAGTCATCTGGATCACAGGAGTGTTTTGCCATGTACACAAAACTGCATTTGGCAGTAAGAGACAAGTCTATACAGTTCGTCCAGTAGCAGACTGAACTACAAAGCAGTAAAATTCAAATAAATTCATATTTTCAGTCTATCTGAGCACTGCTACATGTTTCTTATTATTGTCTGCATCAAGGTAAAGATGACTGACTAAAAAACTTAGGTTAGATAACCCCAGATTAAGTTAAACTTTTACTTACCTAGGCAAGTCTAAAATCTCATTTTAGAAGAGAAAACCCCACAAACTTTCCAGAGTCTTTGTAGTGTAAAGTTCATATTGGACATGATGTTACTTATGTCTTTGAGATTTCTTACCAGTTACAGGTTTACTAGTGTCTGTGCTTTAAAGAGGCTTAAGTGCGGGATCTTCTTAACCATTTTGTGTGTTAACTTACAAGAAACGTTTTCCAACAAAGAATCTCTTCACTTCTAATATATGTACTATTAATTTGTTGGTATTTGGCAGGGTTGAATGGGGTGAAAAATGCTTTGATTTATACTTAACTGTGTTGGGTCAAATAGGTAAGTTTTACCTGCATCAAAAGGGAAGGACTTCTGTGTTTGTAAATACCCATATTGTTTCCTCTTTGCAACCCCTAAAGTCTTCTGGTTTGATTCTTTCAGTGAGGCTGTTCCTTGATCTTACTTTCTAATGATGACTTAACCAGTGCAGGCCAATTCTTGTAGTCTTCGTATTTCAGGATTCTTTGTTATAATCAGGCAATAGTATATGTATTTTATTGAAGACTTGAATGCTAACTATAAACAAATATAACTGAAAATGTTCCTATTTGCTAATTAACTTGTTATAGTTATCAATCAGGCAGAATTCATTTCCATAAGGAAAAAAAGCTGTTGCTGGAACAAAACAAGAAACAGTAACAAGTCAGTGACTTTACAAGGTTTTGTCTGGTTGATTTAAAATATGACAAAATTTATTAATTTCTATTTGAATCTGACTAGTTTCTATATTTTTCTTGTCTAGCCTGAATTGTAATGGAAGAAGCATGATGAAAGGAGTACTAGTTGATTCATTCTCTTAGTGTAACAGATGTTATTTCTTTTTAAGTCAGAATTTCTTATTGCTTATGCTGTCCATATTTTTAAATGCACGAAGTATCATACTCCATCATGGGGAAGGAAAAAACTGAATAATTTTTTTTTTGATGGGTTGCTACATAAATATACCTATATACTAGATATTCCTCATTAACAGTGGAATGAAAAGTTGTTCCTGGCAAGCAGGAAGAACTTTATTTTAAGTCCTAACACTTAGAAGAGCTCTCCTGTGCAAATAGGGCTTATGAAGAGAGAAGGAGATGGATTTTAAGAGGAAATGGTTATAGGAATAGGAATATTTGGAATGTTTGAAGTCAAAAGTAGTTATTTTTGTGAACAGAAAGGGACACCATTATTAATGGCCTCCAGCAACTGAGAAGTCCAGAGAAGCAGCATCTCCTGTATGTTGTATCTCAGTCAAGACATTGCTAGCAAAATACTTCATTCATACTGAGTACTTCCAGATGTGAATTTCATTCAAATTTGCCAAGTCTTTTGGTGAAGAATGTTAAAATATACCTCAAGTGTATTTGAAATTTTGGAGAATAATGCTAGTTCAAGTCCCTTTCACCATTTTCCCTCTTTCGCTTTTCCTTCTGAGGTTCAGTGGTAAACCAACAGGTACACTTTTTTGCAACTTTTTATAGCAAGCCTAACTAAAGTCTCCCGCCGGGTTAATTGCTTTCAAGGTTTATACCACATGGCTTACAGTTTGAAGACTAAGGTTCTCTGGGAAAAATACATTCAGAAACCAGTGGTTACTGCTTTATTGCAGAATAATGCACCTTTTTCTGCTGGGAACAATAACAAATAATTACCCGATAGCATTTATTATTGCTAACTGAATTGCAGACTAATAACTTAGCAGTAGCTTTAGGTTTTCTTTTCAAAATTAAAAATAATTATTATATAGTATCATATTTTCTACTTTGTGATGAAGGTAACTGAATTTGCACAATTTTTAATTAATTTAAAATTTCTGTTATCTTTTCATCTTAAACTATTAAATACACATCCTGGCAATAGAGCCAAGTGCTGACTTTACTACAGAGAGGGTTTTTACAGAAGATGGTTTCTAAGACTAACTCTGAGATTCAATTTTGAAATGAATGGAGTACTGATATCAAGTGTAGCATTAAGAAAATTAGATGCGTTTATGCTACGTTCGCTTGAATGAACTTCAGCACATGAAGACATATCAGTGAGGGGAAACGAATTTGAATAGGAGACACCTGAAAACAGGTGAAGAAAATTGCAGTAGTACTTAAATTCCCTTCGCTGGTAGACCATGTGAAGTGATGGTGTATCACTCTTAAAATCGGCTGTCCAAAAGCCGGTGCAGAGAAGGAACTGAGTCTGCAGTGCTTGTTCCTAAAGCTCTGTTCTGATCAGTCTAGAAAAATTGCTTATTTATAAACATCACAGAAGTATCCACATCCTTCCTTTCTTTAGTGAATAGAGAAGATAATGGAGAAAGACATCACTTTATCATAGACTTTAGTAAGGATTCTAGTTCATTGCACAAGCGTAGAAGTACACAGGGAGAAGTGCACTAAGTTTTATTTCTCCTACCTGTTCTAATTAAGGTTTTCATTCTCATAGACCTTGTAGAGCTATGTGCTTTTAGCTGAGTTATTGTTACTCCTATTGCTCCTGAGTATTTCAGTTGAACAACGTAACCTTGTGGGAAAGTGGTTTTATTGTATATTACACCAATTTCAGAAAGCATCCCACATTTGGGATAAGATTTAACTATGCTGAAGGCCTGTTGAAATCAATGGGTCTCCAAAATACGGAGTTGTAATAGTATGTGTTCAAGTGTCATCTTAAATTGGGGCTATAGTTGCCTTCATCTCTTGGTTGAGGTTTTTACTTTATAATAATTACTGACCTTCTGTCACTGAGGTTGAATCTGCATCCTGAGAAAGATTTATCAACGGTAAAAATTCCAAATAAGACATAGCTCCTAGAAAAGTTAAATTTTGCGGGTTGGGTACCTGATAGTGGTAGACTGAGCCTATTTGTAATTACTGTCTGAAAGCATCATCGTTCTCCCAGTGTAAATCTGTTTTGTAACTTAGTTCACAGTGCCTTATCAAATCACACAGACACGACATGTTCTGGAGCTGCTGGAGCTAACTTTTGCTATTTAGGAATCTGCAACATTCATATACAAAAATTTGTTAAAACTTTCTGTGAAAATGGCTTTTCTTTTACCAGGGAGAATGTTACGCTATGTGAGTGTGGAAGGGGGAAAATATATTTCAATTTAGCAACAGCTGTTCATGCAGGATGGTACAATGAGGAACAATAACAGGAGCTGGGGGTTTCTGCTGCCCACGGGGATATACCAAATGGGTTCTACAAGTTTATTTCATAAACATAGAAGTGTTCTAGTGGTCTGTAATTAACTTGTTTAACCTTTCTAGGGTATGGTCCGTTTTTACGGAAGCACACATGTGGTGTAAAGAACATCATTGTGTTTTCTCATGGCTTTGCTACTGCTGTTACTGCTTATTTTAAAAAAAAGATAATGGTGTGATTCAAGCGTGTTACACTTGGCGTGAACTCCTACTGGTAAAAAAAGATGTTTCCAGCCAACAGCAAGTTGTTATACTTTGTCTAATTTATTTTTACTGGTTTTAAATATAAAGAAATCTAATCTGAATACTCATTTTCTGGAAAAAAAAAAAGGCTTCTTTTCCTACTGTTGAATTGTGAGTAGTCTCAGGCTTCAGTCTAAAAATGGTCACTAATGTCTAGCAGTTTTTTCTTCTAACCACTGTATAGTTACTAACTAATCTTCCCCTGTTGAGTCTGTAAGAAGGTAGGCCTATTTTACAAAAAGGGGTACTGTACAGCATTACTTGCTTAATACTAGATATTAAATCATTGAAACAGCTCTGTTACTAAAACTTTGAAATCTAGCTGTGATCTTGTTTATGGACCAGATCACACTATCTCAAGAGCAAAGCCTGCTCAGCTTTCAAGGGATACCGTTACTGTAGATGAATCCTCTATTTATACTTATTGTGGTATAATACATACTCCTCTTGGATTTTTAATTACCATATGGTTTCTTCCCAAAAGCTGATAATGTATAGATAGCAAAGTGCAATATATTCTCATTCAGCATTGAGAATGACTTTTTGAAATACTGATGATCAATACCTTCCCCTAAACATTTTGTTCTCAGAATATTGAAGTGATTTGTCAAGATAATGTGATGTGTGATTACATGCTTTGAGGAATACAGTTTGGTGCAGACATATTGAAAAAGATTCAAAACTAAGTGTAAATGATTTATATTTGTTCTAATTAAAAGTTGCTTATTTTTATCTGTTTGTTTTAAATCAACTGACAGAATTCACTGACAAGAAGTGCACCCCTTGCCAATGATTCCCAAGCACGCAGTGGTGCCCGCTTTCATACATCTTATGACAAAAGATACGTCATCAAATCTATAACAAGTGAAGATGTAGCAGAAATGCACAACATACTGAAGAAATACCATCAGGTAATATGCTACTTATTATCAGGGTTTGGGATCTCTACCTAAATATTATAATGCCAATCTTTTTTAGTGTGTCAGAAGTTTTAAATGAATAATTATGGAAAGAGTCACTTCAGACTTTTTTCCTTTCGCATGAGCAATTGATTGTATGTCTGCAGTTCACAAGGCAGCACTCTCCTAAATATGTAAGCTAGCTTTAAGTGAAATTAGTATGTGCACATGACAGAGACACTAACTTGGAAGCCATAAGCTCCTTGGCCTTACTAGGAAGATGTTCTTTCTTGCAGCTAGTCCCAGGCTTGAAGCTACTTTATTCTGGACTAGCTTGGAGATACCCGTGTATATGTATATGAACGGTGCAGGTGCCCTCTCTCTTCCTGGTCTGATCACTGTTGTTTCACTAACAACAGATTTCAAACGATGAAAGTTGGATTGTATGAGAAATGAAAAAATTGAGTATAATTCATGTAAAATTCCTGCTAATAAACAAACAGGTTTTGCCAATGCAGATTTCTATAAACAACATTAATGTCAAAAGTGAACACTGGAGATCCATCAAATCAGCCTCGACAGTTGTCATACTGTGCCAGCGTACAATGTGTGTAGATGGTACAGGGGGTAGCAGAACTTGGGAAATATGCTGATTTTCTTAGCCCCAGATATGTTTGAATAAGCCGTAAAGCTGCAGAAATCAGAAAAGCCTCTAAAAATAATCTAAAATATGATACCCAAAAGGAGGGAGGGTGTTCTTCTTTCCATCTTCCTGCTCACTTCTGTGAGTTGGGATTCAGGTAAAAGCTTCAGGATATTAAGGATTGGAAGGTTTTGTTGTTGGTTTTGGCAGCTAATTTTTTTGGTCTTGCAATGTTTAGTAGTAATTTCCTGACAGTTTCAACCAATATATAATAGTAATCTCAGATTCCAGTTTGGAAGCATCACTGAGGGAATATAAAGAACTTGGGGCTTTTTCTTTTTCTTTTTTTTTTTTTTTAAACACTGGGGTGTGGTTTGTTTTTTTTAATACTTGTGTAAAGCCAGTTTGAAAGCCATCTTTTGAGGTGGAAAGGAGGCAAAAGCGTAATTTCAGGGATGCTTAGAACTCAAGATACTGCCAGCCGTCTTCGTGGTGCTGCTTGGCTGCCTCCCTCTGTTCTTCCTGTGTTGAAGGACAATCTGAGTAGCTTGGGAAGCCTTCAGTGAATTAGATATAAACTCTCTTCTCTCTCTGCATGTTATTCTTCTCTTTAAATATAATGTAGGACCACCATGTGTTTGTTTTAATGTAGATAAATATTGTCACTGTCAGAAATGTTCACACGACCATCTTTTAATTACAGTTTTACCAAAAAGAAATTTTAATTATTATCTAATTGTAATTTTGAGGGTTATTATTTATTAGAGTTTTCAAACTTACAATTTTAACTTTGATCTGAAAGGATTTTGAAAAGAGTGCAATTAAAGTTTTAGTCCATTGTATAATTTGGCATTAGAAGCTACGCTATTAATGATCCAGATTTTGACACTTAATCCAACTGAAAAGCCATACTGCTTTCCGAAACAGTCATCTCCTTTCAACAGTGTCAGTGAAGACAGTGCTAACATGAATGAACTTAATCATTTGGGATCTTTTTGGTTTTAATGCCTTCAAACATCAGGGTTCATAGTAGAGTAGGTTACAAGGAATAATGATCCAAAAGTTATCTGATTTCACTTTATACTGGAAAAACATCCATTTGAGAATGGAAGCATGCACTTACTCAGTAATAACTTAAGCATTATTGCTTCAGTATCTTAAATAGTTTGAGTCTGAAAGCTTTCTTTGGTGCCTCCAAAAGATTCATAAAGATATGACTTGTGCTTCCTTTTGTCTCAGAACTTGAGAGCACTTTACAAAGTGTGGTAAATGTTGAATAACTCGAGTACAAAAACAGTTGTAATAATTAGACTTTTTAATTAAATAAATTTCAGTATCTTCAGTAATGTGCTGTTAAAAGAACAAAATTGTTCAAATTATTTAAAGAAAATCTAAATTAAATCCTACCAACTCTGGTGATGGCTGATACTGTGTCCTGTGTGTTGCTCCTGGAAATTAAATGCTTGGAATCATTAGGTACAGCAGCTCGTCCTCCCGCTTCTCTAGATATTTTTAAAGCAAGTGAAGCTTATCTTCGCCTGCTGGACAAAGCCTAGAGAACCCACTGTCCTGATGGGAAGGTTTTAAATAACTCTCTTGGTCAAGTCATCCCACACAGATTTGCTTAACCATAAATAGAAGAGGATAGCTGTCTTTAAACGAAGAATACTGGAGAGGGGACCATGTCAGGTCAGAAGTGTGAGAGTCTGGATATGTTCTTCGTTCACCAGTAGTCTTCATCCCTAGCACTCGCAAAATAGCTGTCTTCTCCTTGCACATTTTTGAACTGTGAAGCTACCAGTGAGGAATCTGGGAGTTAGTGTGATCAGCAGAGAAGTGCAGCTGGATGGTTTTCCCTTGAACACCTCCAAAATTCAATTCCAGGATTTTTTATAACATCGCCAAAGGGTTGGAAAGAGACATGTAGACTGCCACTGGGAAGTAAAGATTATTTTATCAGTAACTGGAGGTCATAGGGATGTATAGTTCACAAACCCTTCCAGTTCTTTCCATCCTTCCTCTCTCTCTCTCTCTCTCTCTCTCTCGGTGCAATAGCTCGTCTGTTCTTTGGAGCTCTGAGGAACTGAGGTTATAGTTACAGTCTGTATACTCAGGTATTTACAAAAGGAGCAGGAATTCTGCATAGCCTGTAAACACTGATATGTCTAAAATACCAAATCCTAGATTGCCTGGGTTTTAATTAACCAAAGTTAAAATAGACATGACTGTCCAATTTAAGTGAAATAGTTATTTTCAGGAAACATAAAGGCTAGTAAATGTTAGCTTGGCTGAGTTACTAGCATTCTCCTTTCTGGGTAGAGTTCTAGTGCAATATCATGTGGCATTTTTCAAAAGTAACCAAGTTAGATGCATCCCAATTTACAGTATTATTACTACTATTTAAAATGTTTTAAAAATTCAAGAATAAAAGATAAAACTCCAAGCCTAAGGTTACATACTAGAAATGTGTATTTAACTAAAAGTGAACCAGGCTTGAAGGAGTGTCAGGAGAAGTTACTATAGAAACAGCCTATAAGTATATATAGTGATTCCAAATTAAAATTGTTGAATTGTAAATAATAGCCCTGAAAATTGTAAATTGTAGTTGCTATCCAAAATTGAGTTGCATTCATTCGTTTACCCCGTCTGATGTGATGCCTTTGGCGTTTCTTTTTAGTGGCAGTCAGGCCTACAACCTCAGACAGATGGTGAATGCTTCAGTCTAAACACTGACGCTTTCTGTCAACTCATCAGATGAGTCTGACGCTTTTAGTACTGAGTAGGAACACTAGAGATTATTTTCTCTTGCAAAGTTTTTTAAAAAGCACAAAACACTAAGCCCACCACTTCCACACAAATAGGAGGGGAATAATGTCTTCCTCCATGTTTAGAGTTGCAAAGCACTTTGTTATTTATGACTAGAATATAGAGTCTGTTGTGCATGGACCAGCTTTCTAGTTACATTTAAAGACAAAATGGCCAGGAGTATGAACCAGCTAGGTTTAAGTGTTATGGTAAATACAAACTTATATGAAATGTTTGGTTCTTATCTTGTTAATTTCCATGCTAACCAGATTTTAACTACCTAAATATTTTCTGATACATAGTGTAAAATGCTGCTTTTTACTCACATTTTAGTAATAATTTGCAGTTGGTTTGGGCTGCTTATATTATTGTTGTGCTGTCAGTAGAATTCTTCTTGCTACTCTTTCAGGCATTACTTCAGCTGAACATCATTTACTTGCCAAATCTAGAACCATTGTTCTGCTCAAATGGGTCAGACTTTAAAATATTAGAAAAGTCTTTGCTGTATGGCCTTACTCTCAGACGCAGTTTGAGCATTAAAAATTGTGTAAGCTAATCAAGCATCGTCATGCTAAATACTTATATAGTATTTGAGGACAAAATCAAGTATTCATTTGAAATACCTTCAAGTCTAGTGCTGTTTCGTTTTAAAACTATGCTCCTGACCCCAAGAGCATGGACCAGAAACCTGGAGTTAAACCTACTGCTCCCTTTGGCATTGTTAAAGGAGAGCTCAGCAAAGTCATCTGTGATAAGTGCGTTGCCAGGATTTCACCCTATGTGTAAGGAACTGGTAATACCCTGCTTCCTCCTAAAGGAAAACTTTATTTCAGCATATACTCAAGCTATGTTTATATGCTTTTTGGATGTATTTTCTTGTACAAAAAGCTTATTGAGTGATTTATGTCAAATACAGAATATACTAATGTAGATATTTTATAAACAGCAAATATGATTTTCAAGGGCAGAAATCAGAGACAGTTGAGTAAAATTCTGTAGGCAGATGTTCTAGTTTCTGAAACGTCTGAATCAAGACTCTGTCCTTCCTAGTGAGCTAATCTTGCTTTAAAAGATTAAATTGGTGTAAATAGATGTGAAAGTGGAATCCTGTGCTCATTGAGAATAGATGATGGGCAGGATAGAAAATTTTTAAAATAAAATGAAAGCAACTTGAGTGTCTCAGAAAAAAAGCCACCAACTTTTGGACACCTTTTTTTTTTTTTTTCTTTTTTTCATTAAGATGGAATTCAAAAGGGGTTTACTATTCCTCAGTGCTGACACCTAAGTGACTTCAGTAAAGCCATGAAATTGAGAAGCCATCTCAAAGCAGGTGAACAAGAGGGAATTGTTAACATACGATTCTTCCAGTATAAAACTACTCCTGAGTGTAGGTACCCTTTAGGTTTTCTATGGGTGGCTGTCCCTGTTGAGTGCACATTCTGTTCTCTACACAGGTGACTGTATGCAGAACTGACACCTATTGCACTGCCTGTTTGTCTCCCTGGCAACCAGCAGGAGCAGTGGTAAAAGAGAGAGACTGCCCATTTACCAGAGGCAGCAAACA